TAAGGCAGCGCTTGTGTGCAGGGTCAAAAGAAGTATCCTGAACCACATTCAGGCGGATGAAGAGACGCCGTGGGAAACGGTCAAAGAAAGACTGAAGAAAGCATACGGAGGCGGCAGGTGGACGACAGAAGAAGACATCTTCCAGATGTTCCGCGAGACGAAGTCTTCACGGCAGTCAAAGGGACAAAATGCTGCAACACTCGTAGCTCATTACAACCGTATCACGGAGAAGATGTGGGAAACAGCAGGCGCTCCGGAGGTAGAAGTCTTGTCTACGATACTGAAGGTGCAACTGGCGAAGGAAACCGGGAAGAAGGAAGGCTTACCCCGGGAATGCTCATTTATTAAGTGTGCCCAAGAAATGGTGGACTCCAGCACCCGAGAGGAGGAAAGCCGGCTAGAGGTGGAGGAACCAGGATGGAATCAGATAGTCTATAAGAGGCTTAGGAGTACACCGACGACCTGGAAAAGGAGAGAGTCCGCATACGGCGGAAGAGAGAAGCACATGGGAGCGTAACGAAGACCAGGGCAAAATAGAGCGAGGGCTAACCAACGGAAAGAAGATAGGAGATGTCACGGCTGTGGGAAGAACGGACACTTGGTGGCACAGTGTCCCCGCACGAAATGCTTTGAGTGCGGGACAGAGGGACACATTGCGAGGCAGTGTCCTTATATATATTCAAGAAGAGACTCACAACGAGCAGAGCCGATGGAGGTGAATGCTCAAGGTTTGAGGAGAAGAAAGATGCAGTCTAGGAGAAGTGAGTCATCAACAGAGGCTTCAGAAGAATCCGCAACCACTGAGACAGAGGAAGAACCAGATGACCCAGCAAGCCGGGAAAACGAGAGGAGCCGAGAGGGGCGGAGAGGCAGCGGAAGAAGTGGACGGCAGCCAGCAGTGGAGAGGATCTGAGGAGAGTGTCAGGCGAGAGGTGACTGCACGCTAGTAAATTATAGCATTCGAGGTAAAAGCCGCTGGTTACCTATAATAGAGGCGAGAGGAGTGCGGTGCCTGGTAGACACCGCGAGTTCCAATACCATTATGACGCGTGGAGTTTTGGAAAAGCTGGAGAGAGGACACTCCAAATCAAGGTATGTAATTGTAAGCTAATCACCCTGGGTGGCCCGTGTGGAGTAGAAGGGGAAGTGGAGATAGGATTGAGGGGGTGGGCAGCCAAGGGAGGTAAACTTACGGTGGTGGGAGAAATGCCCCGGGAATACCAGGTAATTATAGGGTGTGACATGTGGGGAAGGTTGGCATGCGAATCGCGAATAGGAGAAAGGAGTGGAGAATAAAAATAGGGAATGTCAACTATACGAGCAGGGCAGCAATAAAGAATGAGGACGATAGGGCGCGTATAGGAGCTATAAGTCGAGTCGAGGATTGGAGAGTAACAGTGAGAAGGGAATTCGACTACATTTTCTTTAAGGAGGGGGATACATTGGGGGTGAAGGGTAAAACGGTGCACGAGATCCCGTTAAAGCACAAAAAGGTGAGCTACGTGAAAGAGAGGAGATATCCGCAGGCTCTTCTCCAACAGATTAGGGAAGAGATGCAAAGCGTAAAGAAACAAGATATAATTGTTGATAGCACGTCGCCATACAACAGTCCGCTATGGGCAGTAAAGAAGAAAAGCGCGTCCGGAGAAAATAAGGAGAAATACCGAGTAGTAATTGATTACCGAAAATTAAATGAAAATACCGTAGATGAAAAATATCCAATTCCGAAGTTTGAGGACATTTTAGATAGGCTGAGCGGGGCAACGGTATTTAGTACTCTCGACTTAAAAGCAGGATACCACCAAATTAGAATGCTCCCGAAAGACCAGTCGAAGACAGCGTTCACGTTCGAGAGGAATTTACGAGAATGCCCCTATAATGTTCCAGCGGCTGATGGACGAATTTCTAAGGGGAATTGACGAAGAGATGTGCCAAGTTAAATGGACGACCTGTTGATATTTAGTAAAACCGAGGCGGAGCACGTGGAGCATCTACAGAGGGTATTCGAGAGAGTGAGAAAATTTGGACTGAAATTGTCTAACGAGAAGTGTTTGTTAGGGCAAGACCACATAAATTTTTTAGGGCACACGATCTCGAGTGAAGGGGTCAAACCGGACACGCGAAAAGTGGAGGCGATAAGGAAAATGGCAATACCTCGGGATGTGAAAGGGATCCGCAGATTGTTGGGGACTCTTAATTATTATAGAAGGTTTGTGCCTGAAATGGCAGAATACCTCGGGTTATCGTCGAGAGACGTGAGGCAATTCCTGAGGGAGTGGAAGCCAGAAGGAGAGGGAGGACAGGTTGTAGAGGAAGATGAGGATGGAGATGATTCCCAAGATGAGGGGAGCCCAGCGGAAGAGAGGTCAGCAGACATGGAAGAGCTGGAGGAGATTATTAACGACAAAAACCATCAGATAATTTGGAAGACCAGCACTTCGGGTCTAATGAGAGTGCAGTACGGCAAATACAGGAACAGCAGAATTACAACCATTTGGTCACAGCCAGGAGCGAGGAAAGACCAGATGTGTAGAGCTCTGAAGGACGCCTCCAAACCTGAGAAAACTCACCACTTATACATGGGAAACGGGACTATCTGGGAGAAAATCAAAAGGATATGGCAGTCTGAACTAATCAGGCTAGACAGAACATTCGTTCGTTGCAAGTTAATGGTGGACACAGTGCGGGATGAAGAACAGCAGAAGGAGATAACACTCGCTTACCACCAGGGTAAGACCAACCACCGCGGGGCACAGGAGACTTTTCAAGCGCTACGTCGGAAATATTTTTGGTGGGGGATGAAGAAAACGATAGCAGAGCTCATAGGGACCTGCGAGGTGTGCTTGAGCACGAAGTACGATAGGCACACCCCAAGAGCGATGCAAGAGGAGACACCCACAGTCGATGCACCGCTAAGCGACTTGCAAGTGGATCATTCACGTGGAGAGGGTATAAGTGGGTCACGCTCATAGACATCTTTAGCAAAGCAGCAATGGCATACCTGGTGCAGGAGCGATCAGCAGAGGCAGTCTTAGGAGCCATCCAGACGTGGTTCCAGTTTTACGGAGTACCCGACCGCATAACATCTGAAGGGGGCAGAGAGTTCGACAATACCAGGATCAGAACTGAAATGAAGAACGTAGGTGTCAAGTGGCATCTTAATACTCCAGGGCACCCCAAGAGCAGGGGGAGTATAGAGAGACTGCAGAGTACTCTCAGTGACCATCTAAGGGTATATCAGGTGGAGAACGGGTTGGAACCCGATATGGCAATGCGGAAAGCGGTGGCAGCGTACAACCATTCCATACATACGGCAACAGGGTTCTCTCCATTCGAAATTCTCTTCGAATTACGCAGGCGGCAACGGGACTGTGGAGGCACAGCTGCAGATGAGGGAACGACGGGAAGAATGATTATTAATAAAACGAATTGGGCAATCTCTGGGGGAAGGTTAAGAAAAAAATAGAGGGAGAAAACAACAAAAGGAGGTAACAGGGGGGTTGAAAATCAGGTCCATTGTGTATCGCTGGTTAGGCTCGAATAGGGGAAATGAACTGCGGAGATATGAGGGTCCATTCAGGGTGATAATCATTAGGGAGCATAATGTAGTGACGATTGAGAGTGTCAAAGAACCAAAAAAAAAAGAAGGACGGTTCACATAGAACAGTTAAAATTCCCAATTTCAGAGCCAGAGCAAGTGTTTTTGTATGTTATTTATGGAGGTTATCTTTTATTTTATTTTTGTTTGTTTTTGTATATAGTGTTCACACATAATTTTGTGTATGTATCTAAAGGAAAGTGCAGTGCAATACGTCTTTCATTTGGAGATTTCATTTGTGAGAAAAATCTAAAGAGGAAAGTGTGTTTTATTTTTTTTTATATAAGGAATATTTTTCTTTGTGTTTCATTGGATTAGATTGTAAGTACTGAACACTCCATACCTTTGTTGCAGTGTGGGCAAGAAGATCTTGTCGTTTTTATATATATACGTTTTAATTTTAATTTTATTTATTTTTATTTTTTTACTAAGTTTATGAAGAGTATCCGTAAACTGGTGGGGGGGGGGGAGTTAAGATACGGAGCGGGACAGTATTAGAGTTAATACCAAAAGCATTGATGTAAAAAATCTCAGAATGTATATATAGAGGATTATAAGGAACAATAAAGCAGTCTGGATTTCGACTTCATGCGTTTTATTCCTTGAACCTTTTACTTTTTTTTAAGCGTTTTAAGTCCGCTACGCTTAACTTATATATATATATATATATATACACACATATAGATATCTAAATATTACAATTACAAAAATAAATATTTACAAAATAAATACTTTAAAAAAAAATACACTATTTACAAACTTAGAAACAAAAATAAAACAAAACATTTCTGAGAAAAAAACAAAAATAGAAAGAGAAAAAAAAAGAATTAAAACAAAACTGTCTCTGAGGAAAAAAGAAAAAAATGAAATACTATAAGTCTTTGGTTTCGAACAGAGATCAGCTAACGAGAGAGAGCTAGTATACAGACCTTGGCCGTGAACTTAACGTAGTAAGATAAGAACGGCAAGGGAATTAATGGCCACTTGGGCTACCCAAATGAGTACCAATTTATCACATGTTCATTGTTAATAAATCGTGTCTCACCTGAGTATCCGTGAACGTAAAAATGTTCAACTGTTTATAAAGTCACTGTTGATAAAATATTAGCACAGGGTTTTTACTATTAAGCACATATCAAAGTAACAATCACAGAGCGACATAAACGTTATACTGCAGTTGCGGACATGACTAATTTATATTAATTATATTTTTTTTCTTCATATTATTTTTTTTCAAATGATTGACAACTTTTGAAAAGGGGATGAGTCTATGTTGGTTTTATAACATCGCTGGCCCCATCAGTACATATTATGTCTTATTGGACATTATATACTTATATTGTTAATATTTATTACAATTATTTTCTTAGCAATAAAAAATGATGAACAATTTATGTTTCAGATTTCAGAAGAATGTGTTGAAGAAGATATATATGATGCTGGAATGCCTAGTAGTGAAGGAAGTTCATTACAATTTCCTGTTCATCGTCAGTTATCTCAAACACACTCTGAACCTGATACTGCTATAACTGATTCTTCAAGCCGGCATGTTGGTGTCGAGCGTTCTGTAACTTGGGCTGAACCTAGGATTAAAGTCATACCTCCCTCTTCTCATGGAAGGTCCATGTTAATGGCTATGCATACTGAATATACCAGGTAATTTTGTTTAATTCAGAGTTTCCAAAGAATGCGGTTTTCCTTAAACTTAATATCTTACATATTTTTTTTGTTTACATTTTTAATATCTAGCTAAGGCTTTTTCCCTCTGTTATATCATACTGGGTCTTCTTTCTTTTATCTTTACACCTCAACCTCAATTATCTTTTTTACCTTCCTGCTTATATTTCTCATTTTACAATGAAATTAGATAACAAGCAACATAAATTTGAATGAAATGACCCATATAATATATTTGATTGTTAATTATCCCTAAATTGTACTTAGGTTATGAGTAATGTACTATTTATAGATGACTATCATATTTTATTCAGCCACTATAACTATACGAAGGTGATAGAAAATAAGTCAACAGTTATTCCACCTTGAATTTTACTGATTATGCTTTAGTATAAACAAATTTGTATTGTTTAATTTAGGTAACTAATTAAATAATTGCAGCTAATTATGCACAAAAGTTATTTTAAAATAATGTAAAAGAAGAATAACCAATTGTGTAAGATAGTGGTATTGTATGCTGTTTTTTCTTTTGCAACAAAACCTATCAGTAATAGTTGTAGTATTAATGTACACTTATGAATATACACCCAAGATTAAATATTATTTAATTATTCAGGCCTTACTTAGTTAACAAAACTATTAAACAAAAACATGTTGGGAGATTTGTATTAGAACTATTACAATTTTTATTTATTTTAGTATCACAGATGAACTTGAAACAGTCTGTGGGTTACTTAGTCCCCCTAAGTCTCCTAGTCTACTTACACCAGCATTACATGCCGATATACAACCGTCACCTTCTGGTACTAGACGGTCTCGTCATCATTCAGAAATGTCTAACCCAGAAATGGCTCGGTTTTTGGAAAAAGAACATTTGAGAGATGCTGAGGACAGTGATTATCAGTTAATGGAAGACCTAATACAGCGACGTTTGAAATCCTCTAAAGAACGATACATGTTAACTTCCACAAATACTGAATCTGAACGCTACCAGGTATCTATATATATTTTTTTTTAGAATAACTGTTATATGTGAGCTAATGTATGTGTATATTTTATATGTTATATGTATGTGCTTATTTATAAACAAAAATGTCCATATCATTATGAAATGAAATATATATATATATATATATATATATAATGTTAAATAATAAGAATGAAATCAATATTATTAAATATTTTTTAAGTATATCATTCTGATTAATAAACTTATTTATCTTGTTTTTAGTTAATAGTGTCTAAAACATTAACTATGTCCTGCCTTTTCACTTGTTTAATATTGCAATGACTTATATATTAATTGTTTTTATAAAATAGGAACTGAAAAAAGGGCATATGGCCTAAAATTTTGTTGATAAAAAGAGGTTTTAAATAAAAATATGAATCAAGATCAAACAATAAACACTAAAATAAAAGCAAATGAATACAATCCTTTATTACATATATTAACAATGTAAATGACAAATAAATCAAATAAATTCAATTAGAGTAGTATTTTTTTATGAGCTTGTACATAATAATGTCAAGTATAACTTGGTGATATTGGAATTATTAAGAACAGAAAGCATAATTTTATTATTATTTTTTTAATTGGAATGTTGAATTTAATGTTCAGGCTGATGGTATATTTTAAATAATCAGTACCTGCTTTCACTAGCGGATCCAGGATTTAATTTTGGGGGAGACTTCAGCCTGAAAGTTTTTTATTTATATATATTATGATAATTAGTTTAGAAGAAAAAGAAAGAAACTAACTACCTATATGAAATGGTGTTTAATTGATTCTTGAAGTACTATTAAATGCAATTAGATGAACAATAATACTTTTAGAGATAATTTTCTGTTTTCATTAAATATGGTTATATTTTATCATTTTGGGGAGCTTTCCTGGAGGCCGAAAGGCCTGTAGATGGCTCCTTTGATAATAAAATTTTTAATATCTTAAAATTTCTTTTCTTTTTGTATACTTTCCAAAATTGTATGATATAACTTGAAGTTTGTTTTATGATCAGCACTATAAAGAGCTTTTTTACTTTAATTTTTGCTGTCTTTTTAATGTGGATAATGTTTACATTTAATTATTATACAAATTGCATGAAATATCTGTTTTAATCATTTGAGAGTAGTAGTTATGAAACAAGAGTATGAACTTAATTTTTTTTCAGGGAAAGTTAAGAAGAGCGAGTGCTTTTGAGGCAGATTTACCTACACCACACGTCTCTGCATCGAATACTCCTGCAGCACAAAGTCCAGTAGATCCTTCCACAAGTCAAATGTTTCCAATCAGAACTGACTCCACATTTTCGATTGATTCAACATTTTCAGCTAATAAACTTTTTAAAAATGTTCAGAAAGAAGTTCAACTGTAATTAAGTTACTTAATATTATTTTTAACAGAAACAGAAATTAGTTTATAAATAAAAAATATATAGATATGACTGATTAGTTTATGACAAAATGCCATATTAACTTGCTTAAAGGGATCAATTTTAACAGTTTGATCTTTTTTAAAAAATTACTTTTAAGAACTGTTAAAAAAAAAAAAAATTAAATCATTGGATTTAGAAATGTAATGAAAAATGGAAGAATTACGTGAGTATTATTTTTAAAATCGTTTTTATTAAAATAAATAATGGAAAAAAAAGAATAATCATAAATATAATTATACTAAGAAAAAAATAATGTTTTAGCAATAATATTGCAAAATTGTCAGACCAGATCTTTTTTTAGAAGCATATATAATTTTTACATTCATGTGTAAATAAGATATATGCAGTCTTATAAAGTCAAATTGTTCATAAAGAAGATTTATAAGGTTTATGTATAATAAAATACTGTTTTTTTTTTTTCATTATTATCTTTTTTAGCTAAACGAGTGTTACTAAATGATTAATCTGATAATTAATAAAAGACAATGTTATGCTATGAATTGTGAATTGTTATATAACTGACATGTATTGTAGTGATAATTTATTTTTGAAAATGTAAACAAGAACCAAAGGTATATTTAGTTTTTTTTTAATTATTAAACAATACATCCAGTATTACAGACAATCACTAATCTAAAGTTCATATTCGTATATAGATCCTGATCATAAGAAAAAAAATTGGTTAGTAAATTTAATTGCATTTTCCAGCAAAGTGTGTATTATTATCATTTTTGAAATTTATGATAGTTATGTTTATATTTATTATTGTAATTATTATATAAGTATAAGCGTAATATTATTTTTAAAAGTCCCTAAATTACTTTTTACACTTTGATTGCTGTGTTGATCTGTTTTATGTATTAAAAAAAAAACTACACATGCCTAAGAATGATTTATGTTAATATATGAGTGTATTTATGTTTATCATGTACATGATTGTGTGAGAATGATTGTGTGCTTATGACTCTGCATGTGTGTGTGTATGTATATATTTAATCAATGTATATAATTATTCTTAAGTTTATATATATTTATTTATGTTTATATATTTGCCCAAAACTGTAACATTGTTATATGTAAATATTTACATACCATCTAAATAATTTATTTATTTTTATTGTGTTATTTCTTCATAAATAAATAGGTATAGAAATTAAAAAGATTCGATTAATGTCGATAAATATTTGCACAAAGAAATATTCTTAGGGGTTATTTAATAATAATGATTCACTCTTTTGTTTTTTAATTTAGTATTTTAAAATTAAAAACAGGTTATTGAAATATTAGTTTTTAAATGTCAATGTCAATAAAATTATTTTATAGTTTACCGATAATTGACAATCTTAAAAAGAAAGACATATATTGTTAATTTTTTTTCAATTTTATTCCAAAAATTATATAGTAATATAAACACTTAACTGCACTCAAATTGAAATATATTCATCATTAACACTATGATTAACTCTAATCTCTCTTTTACTTTAAGTGTATAAAGTATTTATGTACATACACACATGATATATACATAATAGAATTTTTATGTATATATCATATACCATTTTAAGAAATATTTTTGTAATGTAATGATAACTAATCGAAATTTTAAAATTTTGTAATGAAATATTTATTTGTTTTAGTGGATATATGAATATTCATTGAATGGTTTATCATTACATAATTGAAAATTAAAAAATAAATATGTTTCCAGTTGTGTTGATATTTTTTTCTCCCATCTCATTTTATGCCCATAAATGAATAAATCAATTCAGAGAGATTTAAAATATACAAAACAAAATAGGTGTTGCGGCTGACATAGGCTTTATTTTTATTTTATTTTATGTGTCTACATTTTAGTAATAATGGGATGAAAGTGAAGGAAATAAAATCTTCCTCCAACAGCTTTTCTTTAAAACCAATTCAATATCCAAAGTGAGAGATTCAAATACAAATTCCAGATCATAGCCATAATATAAAAATAGAAAACAATTAATAAAGCGAGAAAAGGCCTCACTAGCCAGCACACAACTACTTACTACAGCTGGTGGGAGATCAGTAATGGACTTATATGAGAAATACTATTGCATAGTAATAATAAAGAAAATTAATGATAAACAAAAAACATATTTTTACTAAACATAGAAAGAAGAAATACAAAGGAACAAATGTAAGCAGCAGTGACAAACTCATTTCACTCAACCTATTTGTTCACACCAGCTGTATGTATATAACTTGTATCTTTAAAACTCCCACTACACACTCCTTACATTACTCCCCCCAATTACAATGGCACAAAACCTAACCTTTGGTTTCACTGCATGCGCAGAGCGGATGCGATACACTGCTTGCAGTGGAGGCTGCTCTGTGTTTAGGTCATTAGAAGGGTTGGCTGCAACAGTTTCGGGCATAGTAGGTTGATCCTTGTTGTCACTGTCTTCAGCCGTTTCTGGAAGAATCTATCTTGATGAACTACCTTCAGGCGATCCAGGGAGATCTTCAGTCCTGGTGGAAACTGCTCCCGAAACGTTTTATCATCCCGCTCAATGACTTTGTAGGGACTAGTGTAAGGCGAAGTTAAAGGCTTCCTCACGGTGTTATCCTTTAGGAAAACGTAGCTGCAGTCCTTTTAGTTCCGGTGGATGAAGTTTTTCGCCACCGCGCTGCGGTGTGATGCCGATCTGAGATCCTTCATTGTGTCTCGGAAAGTATTGAGCGTCGTCTCCGTGTCTTCCTGACGCTTTGATGGTTCGAAGAATTCTCCTGAAAGTCGAAGATGTTTAAAAACCATTTCCGCAACGCTGAATGCCGACCGGAAATCTAAAGGACTGTTGGTAACGTCGTTACTACACGTCTTACTCATCCAGCCATGTTCATCGCTGCTGTGAGGGATGACTTACGTACGAGACCTATGTCATCGCTACAGGCACCCGTTGGACTGAGGGCGGTACGCCGTGGTCCTACTCCGATGAATACCAAGAACACGAGTGAGATTCACGAGGAGGTCTGACTGGAACTGGTGGCCTTGGTCTGTTGTAATCCTGGCCGGCATACTGTAGTGGGAAACCCACGTACTCACGATCGCTTCTGCCACTTTGGTGATTGTTATTTCATCAAGTGGGCGCTCTTCTAGCCAATGGATGAACCACTCGATGCTGGTAAGGCAAAACATTCTGTTGAAGGGTGGCAAAGGCTCGAAAGTAACTGGACGGATTATAGTCTAACGGACCACTTTTAATCGCTGGCAGGGTATGCAACAGCGAGCCCACCTCGAGACGTGGAGTTCATGCTTGGCCATAAAAACGTTAAGTCACAAACTGCCTCGAGATTCGTAATCCAGGATGGTTAAGCCCATGCGGAGGGTGGAAGATCTCTTCTCGCATGGATTCAGGACGAAGGCCAGCGCTCGAGGTATAGATGTCTCACAGAGTGCCGAGACATCTGCACGGAATGGCTTTATCCAGCATAGCTGAAGACGTTCGTTCTTCTGCAGATCAGGAATCGATAGACCCTTCTGTTGTTCTGCTGCTATACGTGCGTAGTCCTTGGTACTGTATATATATTGTTGTTTTTTTAGATTTTAACTTCTTAAAATTTTATTTTTTATTTTTAACTGGTTTTTAGGCAATTATTATTTTTATTGTTTTATTTATTTATTTTTTGAGATTTCAACTTTTTAACAGTTTATTGATTTTATATTGTAACTCATTTTAGATAATTCAATTTTTTAGATTTTAACTTTTAACTTTCACTTATTTTTAGGCAATTAATGTTTTTAAATTTTAACTTTAAACTTTTTACTGATTCTATATTATAACTTATTTATAGGCAATTTATTTGATAGATTTATACTTTTTAACCTTTTATTGATTTTATATTTTAACTAAATTTATTTAACAATTGATTTTATAGTGTTTAAATTTTTATTTATTTATACTTTTCACACTCCTTTAACAGATTGTTTCAATCATGTGCGTAGTGAGCATAGTCTCGAACAAAACAATAATATTGCAATGAACAAAATATCAATAAAAAAGATCGAAGTTGGACAAAAGGTATGTGTTCTGAGAACTGGAGGATCTGTTCAAGAGGCAGTTGTTGCCTCTGTGATGTCTGTGGCTACTGCAGGAGATGGAGAAAATACATTTGTTAAAGTGGAATGGCCCGACACAGAAGGTGTGGTATTGGGAAAGACTGTGTAGATAGATGATGTCTTTCCCAGATTGCCAAATGATCAGCTGAATGTCGCAGAGGTACATAGTGAGCGACAAGATGAAGCTCTACACCCTGATGATAAAGTTTGTCCGATATATGGGCTTTCTTTTAAGGGCGAACGAGGTCTCGGAACCCATATTGCAAAAGAACATCCCAGGAAGGCGAATAACAACACATTGAGGGAGATAGTGAAGAATTTGATAGGTCCTAGAAATGGAGAGGGTGAGACATCAAAAATAAAAGAGGACATTGTTGGATGGTCTACTATGTTCAAGAACCTATCAAGGCAAAATATGGTAAATACTGCGGATTTTGATGAGGCCGTAGATAAGTTTCTAAAGTCCCTCAAAGATATCAATGCATAACTGCCAGGTCCCCAGCCGTCAAAGTTTTTAGGATGAGGGAAAACAAAATGAAAATGGCTGGCAAGGGTGCTGGACAAGTTTCAAATCCGCAGAGAGCGAACAAAATAGACAGGGGTCGTCGGCAGGAGCAGTATCAGTATGAGGTTGCTTAATATAATTACTACAACAAAAGAAAAAAGGTTGTGCAAACTGTAATGAATGCCGACTCTCCTAAACGGTGTCCTCTAAATATGGCCGAAATCGAGGGGCATTATGAAGGATCTCTTTGAAAGCGAAAATTTATGCGGGCGTGCGGATTACGAACAGTGTGCCCCGATGCCAAATTTGCTGTCCATTGAGCTAGAAGCTGTCAATAAAGTGTTTAACTCAACATAAATGGACACATCGACATGGCCTGATGGAGTTCTGATCCGCACAATCAAATATTTTGACGTATCAAATATTATCAAAACGTTTGCAGAGATAATGCTGAAGGTGACCTATGTTCGAGAACCACTTCGACAGAGGCGCACAATGAAAGGTGCGGAGGA